CAGGTGCTGATGGGCATGCTGTCATCAGGTGCTGATGGGCATGCTGTCATAAGGTGCTGATGGGCATGCTGTCCTCAGGTGCTGATGGGCATGCTGACATCAGGTGCTGATGGGCATGCTGTCATCAGGTGCTTATGGGCATGCTTTCATCAGGTGCTGATGGGCATGCTGTCATCAGGTGCTGATGGGCATGCTGTCATCAGGTGCTGATGGGCAAGCTGTCATCAGGTGCTGATGGGCATGCTGTCATCAGGTGCTGATGGGCATGCTGCCATCAGGTGCTGATGGGCATGCTGTCATCAGGTGCTGATGGGCATGCTGTCATCAGGTGCTGATGGGCATGCTGTCATAAGGTGCTGATGGGCATGCTGTCCTCAGGTGCTTATGGGCATGTTGTCATCAGGTGCTGATGGGCATGCTGTCATCAGGTGCTGATGGGCATGCTGTCATAAGGTGCTGATGGGCCTGCTGTCATCAGGTGCTGATGGGCAAGCTGTCATCAGGTGCTGATGGGCATGCTGTCATCAGGTGCTGATGGGCATGCTGCCGTCAGGTGCTGATGGGCATGCTGTCATCAGGTGCTGATGGGCATGCTGTCATCAGGTGCTGATGGGCATGCTGTCATAAGGTGCTGATGGGCATGCTGTCCTCAGGTGCTGATGGGCATGCTGACATCAGGTGCTGATGGGCATGCTGTCATCAGGTGCTGATGGGCATGCTGTCATCAGGTGCTGATGGGCATGCTGTCATCAGGTGCTTATGGGCATGCTTTCATCAGGTGCTGATGGGCATGCTGTCATCAGGTGCTGATGGGCATGCTGTCATCAGGTGCTGATGGGCAAGCTGTCATCAGGTGCTGATGGGCATGCTGTCATCAGGTGCTGATGGGCATGCTGTCATCAGGTGCTGATGGGCAAGCTGTCATCAGGTGCTGATGGGCATGCTGTCATCAGGTGCTGATGGGCATGCTGCCATCAGGTGCTGATGGGCAAGCTGTCATCAGGTGCTGATGGGCATGCTGTCATCAGGTGCTGATGGGCATGCTGTCATCAGGTGCAGATGGGCATGCTGTCATCAGGTGCTTATGGGCATGCTTTCATCAGGTGCTGATGGGCATGCTGTCATAAGGTGCTGATGGGCCTGCTGTCATCAGGTGCTGATGGGCAAGCTGTCATCAGGTGCTGATGGGCATGCTGTCATCAGGTGCTGATGGGCATGCTGCCATCAGGTGCTGATGGGCATGCTGTCATCAGGTGCTGATGGGCATGCTGTCATCAGGTGCTGATGGGCATGCTGTCATAAGGTGCTGATGGGCATGCTGTCCTCAGGTGCTGATGGGCATGCTGACATCAGGTGCTGATGGGCATGCTGTCATCAGGTGCTGATGGGCATGCTGTCATCAGGTGCTAATGGGCATGCTGTCATCAGGTGCTGATGGGCATGCTGTCATCAGGTGCTGATGGGCATGCTGTCATCAGGTGCTGATGGGCATGCTGTCATCAGGTGCTGATGGGCATGCTGTCATCAGGTGCTGATGGGCATGCCTGTCATCAGGTGCAGATGGGCATGCTGTCATCAGGTGCTTATGGGCATGCTTTCATCAGGTGCTGATGGGCATGCTGTCATCAGGTGCTGATGGGCATGCTGTCATCAGGTGCTGATGGGCAAGCTGTCATCAGGTGCTGATGGGCATGCTGTCATCAGATGCTGATGGGCATGCTGCCATCAGTGCTGAGGGGCATGCTGTCCTCAGGTGCTGATGGGCATGCTGTCATCAGGTGCTGATGGGCATGCTGTCATAAGGTGCTGATGGGCATGCTGTCCTCAGGTGCTGATGGGCATGCTGACATCAGGTGCTGATGGGCATGCTGTCATCAGGTGCTGATGGGCATGCTGTCATCAGGTGCTGATGGGCATGCTGTCATCAGGTGCTTATGGGCATGCTTTCATCAGGTGCTGATGGGCATGCTGTCATCAGGTGCTGATGGGCATGCTGTCATCAGGTGCTGATGGGCAAGCTGTCATCAGGTGCTGATGGGCATGCTGTCATCAGGTGCTGATGGGCATGCTGTCATCAGGTGCTGATGGGCATGCTGTCATAAGGTGCTGATGGGCATGCTGTCCTCAGGTGCTTATGGGCATGTTGTCATCAGGTGCTGATGGGCATGCTGTCATCAGATGCTGATGGGCATGCTGTCATCAGGTGCTGGGTTGGCAGCACCTCATGGTGGCCGCCGGCGCGTGTCCTATCTCGCCTCCTAGCACGGCCACGCTTCTCCCCTCTCCCGTCCCTTTTCACCCGGCTCCTGGCAGGAGTCGGTCGGAGTGGTGAAGGTCTTTGGGCACTTTGGGCTGCGTAGCACTACCAACCTGAGCTACTGGGGCCTGGCGGGATGCGTGAACAGCGCGTCCATGCTGGCGTACAACACGCTGGGCGACAGGGTGCTCAACTACAGCGGCGGCACCGTCATGATGGTGCTCACTGACCAGGACAGGTGCGCTGTGCGTGCGGCTCAGCATGCAACACGGGGGCTGGCAGGTGGTGAACTCCAGCAGCGGTACCCTGACCACACTCCGCGACCAGGACTGCAGTGGGGCGCGAGTGAGGGGAGATCACGAGGTGTGCACCGTAGTGAGTGAGGTGATAATCACGAAGAAATCTGAAGCGCGTTGCATTCAAGTGCGTCACCATGGCATGGCAGGTGCGTCACCATGACATGGCAGGTGCGTCACCATGGCATGGCAGGTGCGTCACCATGGCATTCCAGCATACTCTGTCATATCCCTGGCATGCTAATCCTCCACGGTCGTTAGTAAATTTCCAAGGGCAGGCCACGAGGCCATGAGGAGGCCATGAGGCCACGAGGCCACGTTGCGCTTCAGCACGTCTCTCCTCTGCCCAAACCATTCCCCTTTCCCCACACCATTCCCTTTTCCCCACACCATTCCCTTTTCCCCACACCATTCCCTTTTCCCCACACCATTCCCCTTTCCCCAGGCCCCTCGTGGAGGCTATCACGGGGTACCAGGTGCGCTCCGTGCTGGGGCTGCCCGCCCCCAGGAAGGACCTGTACGCTGTGTCGGTGATGGGCAGCCTGGACGCCGCAGCCACGCTCAAGCCCTTCACGGACCTCCTGCCTCTGGTGCCTCCGAGCATTTTGGCCAGCATGCTCACTGGCAAGCCCGCGGCTGGGCCCCCATTACCGGCGACCCTGGTGTCATCGCAAGTGGTGAGCGGCAAGTGCTGCAAGGGGTGAGCGGCAAAGTGCTGCAAGGGGTGAGCGGCAAGTGCGGCAAGGGGTGAGCGGCAGGGGGTGAGCGGCAGGGGGTGAGTGGCAGGTGGTGAGTGGCAGGTGGTGAGTGGCAGGTGGTGAGAGCACCGAAAGTTACCCTGCTTTTCCTGCTGTTATGGCTGCTGGAATGTTCTCGTCCATGCGCTACAGGGCAATGCGCTACAGGGCCATGCGCTACAGGGCAATGCGCTACAGGGCCATGCGCTACAGGGCCATGCGCTACAGGGCCATGCGCTACAGGGCATGCGCTACAGGGCAATGCGCTACAGGGCAATGCGCTACGGGGCAATGCGCTACAGGGCAATGCGCTACCGGGCCATGCGCTACAGGGCCATGCGCTACAGGGCAATGCGCTATAGGGCCATGCGCTACAGGGCAATGCGCTACAGGGCAATGCGCTACAGGGCAATGCGCTACAGAGCAATGCGATACAGGGCCATGCGCTACAGGGCTATGCGTAGACATGGGCAAAAAAAATCGCATCGCGTCGCATTTTAATCGCGTTTTTGCGATGGCGATGTTTTTTTTTTTTTTTTTATCATCGCGCGATGCGATGAATTTATATCGCGCGATTTAATTTAAATCGCATTTTAATCGCGCTTAAAAAACGCGATTTAAATGCGATATGCGATTTTTAAAAAAATAACGCGCGATATTGCACTGAAACCCACTCTGAAACCCACTACGAAACCACACTGGTTATTTGCTCTCTAGCTTACGACTGCCCGTGAGTCAATTTCCCTGCAGCCATGGTTTTTTTTCTGTTTTTTTGGGGTGTTTGTTATTTCTTTTTTAAAACGCGATGCGATTTAAAATCGCATTTTGCGATTTAATTAAATATCGCATGCGATTTATTAATACATCGCGGGTAAAATGCGATGTGCGATTTTATATTTTTTGAAAAATAATTCGCGCGATGCGATTTAAAATCGCATCGCTTTTTAAAACATCGCACCTGCATGCGATGCGATTTAAATCGCAATCGCATTTTGATCATGTCTAGCTATGCGCTACAGGGCCATGCGCTACAGGGCAATGCGCTACAGGGCAATGCGCTACAGGGCCATGCGCTACAGGGCCATGCGCTACCGGCCATGCGCTACAGGGCCATGCGCTACAGGGCCATGCGCTACAGGGCCATGCACTACATGGCCATGCGCTACAGGGCAATGCGCTACAGGGCCATGCGCTACAGGGCAATGCGCTACAGAGCAATGCGCTACAGGGCCATGCGCTACAGGGCCATGCGCTACAGGGCAATGCGCTACAGGGCAATGCGCTACAGGGCCATGCGCTACAGGGCAATGCGCTACAGGGCAATGCGCTACAGGGCCATGCGCTGCAGGGCCATGCGCTACAGGGCCATGCGCTACAGGGCCATGCGCTACAGGGCCATGCGCTACAGGGCAATGCGCTACAGGGCCATGCGCTACAGGGCCATGCGCTACAGGGCAATGCGCTACGGAGCCATGCGCTACAGGGCAATGCGCTACAGGGCAATGCGCTACAGGGCCATGCGCTACAGGGCCATGCGCTACAGGGCCATGCGCTACAGGGCCATGCGCTACAGGGCAATGCGCTACAGGGCCATGCGCTACAGGGCCATGCGCTACAGGGCAATGCGCTACAGGGCCATGCGCTGCATGGCCATGCGCCTAAGTGGGCAAATTCGTTGGGGTCCCCCAGCGTTTTGCGTAAATTCGTAAGCATAAATTCGCAAACGTGAATTTACCTGAAATTCGCGAAGCGCTGGGGGAAAATTTTTGGGGCAGCCCGGACAAAAAAACACGAATTTCCCAACTCGATTTGCAGCGACTTGGCGAAGCCATCCGTGGCCTCGCGAATTCGCGATTCTAACTTTTGAACCACCAAAAATGCTCCAACCCCTCCCACGCTCCCAACCGCATCAAACCCCACCACATCTAGAGAACCCAACCCATCCACCACCCAACTTACGCAACCATATCACGCACGCATCTCACACGCTACTCTACCAGACGTAGAGTAGATCTAGCTTATCACTCCGCGTCATAGCTAGAAGAACTAGTTTAAGCATAGACATTAGCTTACCTCATGAGTATGGTTCATCATCTTGCTGTAGGTTGCTGCAGGGCTGTTAATGCTAAGGATACCCCCCAAACTCTAGAACATGCTATTGCCATAAACTTTGAGAAGCAATAATAATTTTCTGCTAAAAAGAGTTGCCCTGAAACCCCCCACGCCCCCCCTACCTGGGAACTTTTTTTTTGGGCCTGCCCGGGCATTTTTTTCCTGCCCGGGCAGAACGTATTTCCCAACGAATTCAAAACATGGGCCCTGGCGTTCGAGCGAATTTACGCCAGCGTAAATTCGTTAGCGAATTTACGCGAAACGCGAATTTTCCCACTTAGCCATGCGCTACAGGGCCATGCGCTACAGGGCCTGTGCCTATGCGCTGATGTAGACATGAGCAAAGAGACGGGGCTGGCCCAACCCGGACCATCGTGTGGGTCAAACATTTCGACTTTTACGTTGCCCGAGTCCGTACGGACTGGTGGGCGAAAGGGGTGCCAGAGGACCGGCCAACCCAGTACGTGTGACGGGTGACATAGGCCGGACCCGTCCTGTCCACAGGGTACAGGCTGGGGGCTGGCAGACTGCCATGGCTGGTCCCACTCAGGCCGGGCCGGGCCCGTCCCTTGCAAGGGACGGGCCTCTCCCGGCCTGGGCCCGGCAGGCCCTGACCCATCCGTTGCTCAGGACTATACTACAGGGCCTTTTATCTCTTGCATCTCCATGCTTTCGCACATACCGTGGACTGCAGTAGCTTTACTCATCAGTTTTAGTTTCCGCTTGTGACACATCCCATCCCACGTATGTGCCACCGCACCCAGAGACTGCGCTGCACATTGATTTGTTGCCACCTTTTCTTGTGGCGGACCTCAGATACTTTGTGGACCCAATGCGGCGTTCATCTGCCTGCTTGGCAATAACCACACAGCTAACGAATATTTCCTCTGTAATCCGCTTTCATGCGCCCCATGCCTGCCCTCCTTCCCCCGCAGTGTTCTCCATTCCCATCTTCCGCCATCCTCTGCCGCCCAACGCATCTGCGCAGCAGATCAGAGAGAGCATCAGCATCACATGGGGTGGTATAGTTTTCTTGGAGTCGAGGATTCGAGGAGTAATGGACATGCTTGACAGTAGTGAGTCAGTCGAGCAGATGTTCCTAAAACTCACGTGCTTATCTCTCCATCCCTCTCCTCTTCCCCACCTGCCTCCTCTTCCTCTATGTCCCTCTCCTTCTCCACTCATCCTCCTCCTCTCCTCCTCCTCTCCTCCTCCTCCTCCTCCTCCTCCTCCTCCTCCTCCTCCTCCTCCTCCTCCCCCCCCCCTTCCTCCTCCTCCTCCTCCTCCTCCTCCTCCTCCTCCTCCTCCTCCTCCTCCTCCTCCTCCTCCTCCTCCTCCTCCTCCTCCTCCTCCTCCTCCTCCCCCCCTTGCATCCCTCCTTATCTTTCTCCTCCCCCTTCCCTCCTTCATGTATCAATATTCTTCATTAGGTGGTGTTCTAAACGGCTGGGGTTTGGTTCATTATTCAAACGTCATCCAATTTGAAAATCTCCCCATAATCCAACCAATGTACTGTCTTACCTATTCCATCCATCCACCCAACCAACCCATGTCCTTTTGTACTAGAAGCCATGTGCCCTTTTGTCCTTTTTCGATCTAAGTGATTCAAGCCTGGAAACATCCGACCAATGAGTGGATCCGTTGCAGGGAGCAGCATGTACTCCTTTGCCATGTACGACAACACGGAGCCAGGCGAGCTTCTTCAAGTCTTTGGTCCAGAGAAGCCACCTCTTGCCAAGGGCTCCGCCTTCCCCTCTGTGCTGCCTGCACCTGTCATGGCCACTCCGGATCATGTGGAGCCTTTTTCCGAGGACCTGTTTGGGCGAACATACGAAGCACACTGCAGGTGTGTAGGAACATGAGGCTATTGTCTACTGGGGCGTTGAACCGTATTTTCTACTTCCCTTCATCTACTAACATGTATCTTTTGTCACGCCCTTATTGCTTCATGCCCTTATTTAGGGTTGAGCAAACTACCCGCCCGGGTCGGGTACCCGGTACCCGGACCCGCTTTTAGGGCGGGTCGGGTATCGGAAATCCTGAAAATTACCCGCCGGGTCGGGTCCGGGTTACCCGGGCCGGGTATCAATACCCGCTACCCGGAATGCTACCCGACGTGTCGGGTAACGGGTACCCGACCCGGTCGGGTAAAAAATTACCCGAGGTCGGGTATTCCACCTCGACATGGGCGTAAGTCGCGCTGTGTTTTTGGTTTTGCGGCAAAACAGTTTTGGAGGTGAGGGGGACGAGTGGAGCCCTACCTAGCCTAGCCCTACCTAGCCTAGCCCAACTTTAGGATGTCCACTAGTAGGTGGCGGGTAAAATTACCCGCTTTTCAGGGGGTCCGGGTCGGGTATACCCGGACCCGCCAGGCGGGTATTATAATACCCGCCTAAAAAAACCGGGTCCGGGTAAGGGTCCTGGGCATATTACCCGACCCGGACCCGACCCGAAATTACCCGACCCGAGGTCGGGTATGGCAAAACCGGGTCGGGTCGGGTAATTACCCGGTTTTGCTCATGCCTACCCTTATTGCTTCACGCCCTTATTGCTTCACGCCCTTATTGCTTCACGCCCTTATTGCTTCACGCCCTTATTGCTTCACGCCCTTCTTGCCTCACCCCCTCATTGCCCACCACCCTCATTTCCCCACCCTCTTTGCTTGATGTACCTACATTGCTTGCTTCAAACCCTCGTGGGACATACCCAAATTGCAACACATCCTCATTGTTTCCTGACACACGTTTCTTCCCAACCTCGTTGCTTCCCTCCCTTATTGCTTCACGAACCCTTGGTGCTTCGCACACCCTCAAGGCCTCTTGCACAAGTTGTCGGCCGAACGGCCACCAACTCTTGCACCTGGTATAGGCAGGGGTAGGTCCAAGCGAGGTTAGAGGGCCGTGAAACGGCTTACCAGTGGATTGAGGTTGTGGGTGACCGGGAGGCTATTGTGCCAATTCCCTGTTTCCGTGCTTGCAAGACAACGAGTCAGAGGGTGCACGCGTCATCATGTCCTGGCCATACCTGACCTGCTGCCTCCCGTGAATCTGCCGCCTGACTGCATTGATCTTCATTGGCAGTTGTTGCTAGGACGAACAGCCATGGCTGATTAGGAATGAGCCGAAAGGCTCTACAAGTAAAAGCATGGCAGGCCAAGGCCAATGACCAAGGGTACCACCAGACCAAATTGGCTGGTTGACCCCACCCCACCAATTGCGATGTGTACGCCACACAAATGTGTCGTGCACAACACTCTCTTTGCGTGATGAATCCAACCTCATGACTTCGAAGGTGGTACTCTAGCCCAGTAGCCTTCGCCCTTGCAGCTTCTTGGGCTGCCCTCCCGACTTCCCTGGCAGCGTATTGGCGTTGGAGCACCAGGGCGCTGGCGCTTGCATCCATGACCAGGTATCGCCACATCTACTGCTCCACATGATCAAGTGGCAGTGCTTCCTCACGCTTGGGAGTGAATCCATGTTAGTCTCGTGATACATTACGTACATACACTCCCTAGCCATGCGAACGACAGCGTGCAGCACAATAGGTGGTTAGTTAGGCTGGGATCGAGGATTGGCATGCAACAAGAGCACCCGAGGGGGGACCGGGAGGGCCAGTTAGAAGCGGAAGGTGGTGGGGACGGAAAACTGTCGGCAGACATGGTCAAGGGCTGGGCTCGGACAGGTCGGCCTGTCCATCCCGGCTTGTTCCGGACCCAAAATGGGCTCCGACTGAGCCCACACAGGCTGGGGTGCCCGCGAGGCCCGGCGGCCTCGGGCCCGTAACGTTTCGCCCGTCGATCCGCGCAGATCTGGCATTTTTCCACCTGATCTGCATGGAGCGGATTGTTTCAACCGCTGATCCGCAAGAAGGCATGAGTTCGTCGAGTTTTACTTGACTCGCCTCAACTCGGGACTCAATCATTCTGACAGTCCAGTCAGGCCTGAAACAACCCGAGTCAGGGCACGACTCGAGCCGAGCCGAGCCTGACGTGTCTTTTCTGACGAAGGGGGGAACTACAGGTCCCCTCGGCCAACAGCAGATCCATGCAGATTGGCGGTGGAAACATGCCAATCCTTGTGAATCCCTCATTTTGCAGCCCGGTGTGCGAGGTTGAGTTGAGATCGTTTCGACACCCGATTTGCATGGATCTGGCGTTTCGCCACCGAATCGCGGGGGTCGGGTCGTTGCAACTAGGGTTGAGCAAAACCGGTATTTACCCAACCCGACCCGGTTTTGCAATACCCGACTTCGGGTCGGGTGCGGGTCGGGAAATATGAACAAACTTTCTAGTGTCCATAAACTTAAGACTACAAGTTTTTTATAACATGCTTTCACACATGACAACTTTCGTGCTCTCGGATGCTTGCTCTCCTTTGCCGCTGTTCGCCCTCCATTTCATGCGTAGGTTTGAGGGCGCCTACCCCACCTGGGCCCTGCTGTACGCCCCCATGCTGCTGGGCCTGTTGGTGCTGATAGTAGCGGCGTTGCTGTCAGGCATGATAGCGGTGCTGGCGTGGAAGCGCAGGCAGATGGCGGACGGGGTGAGGGAGTTGCAGCTGTGCACGGCAATGCTCGAGACAGCTGAGAAATCCAAGTCCGAGGCTGTGGCCAACGTCTCCCATGAGCTGCGCACCCCAATGATTGGCGTGATGGGTGAGGGCATGCATGCATGCACTGCATGGCCACTCATTGTCTCTGATTTTGCAAGCATACTGAAGGGTTGGACGGACCCGCCACACGTTGCTCATCCAGTCACTGCTTGCATTCTCGTCCCGTTTCTAGTGCCAACTTTTTTGGCCCCACTGCTTCCACATGATGCACATCCCATACCGTTTGTCGCGATGCTTGCTTTTTGCATTCCCCCAGGCATGACAGAGGAGCTGCTGGAGTCGGCGTTGGAGGAGTGGCAGCGGGCGGACCTAAGGGACGCGAGGGCGTGTGCGGGGGAGACGGTGGACCTCATCAACTGCGTGCTGGACCTCGCCAAGCTGCAGGCAGGCCGCCTGCACCTCGAGACGCTGCCCTGCTGCCTGCGCCGCATCGCGCACGAAGCAACGACACGCAAGAGACCAGAAATGCACGCGATGAATGTACAAGGTACGAGCTGTGCCATTCCGTCATTGGCGCTCTAAACCTTGTGTCTTCATGGGCTTGTTTGGTGCGTCGTGTGCTGCCTGCAGTGACATCTCATGTGGATGAGCGCGTTCCGAGCATTCTACTGGGTGACCCAACCCGACTCTCGCAAGTCATAGCGGAACTCGTCGGTGAGTTGCTTGCCACATTGACTCTTGGCTCGTACTCGCTATGAAAAGGTTGCGCGGTGCACAGTGGATTCCCAGCTGTATCCACATGTTATGTCAAGGCGCGATTGTGGAGCAGCAATCGGTAGTATTGACCCTAAAGTTGAAAGAAGTACGAGCTCAGTCTTGTGTTGATCATGGTGCCACCCAATGTTGGAAAGTTGGGAATTCATGTGGCTCACCTCGAGCCCAGATGGCAGCACACGCACCTCGAGGCCAGATGGCAGCACACGCACCTCGAGGCCAGATGGCAGCACACTCACCTCGAGGCCAGATGGCAGCACACTCACCTCGAGGCCAGATGGCAGCACACTCACCAGTCTAAATTGCATTGGATGTACTTTTCCCTGGACACTGTTTGAGAGTAAAGGGGGAGCAGCGGTGGCTTGTCAACCACAAAGAATGCAGAGTGTGTAGCGCAACAAATTGAAGCGAATACAATGCATGGGGTTGAATACAATGCATGGGGGTGAATACAATGCATGGGGGTGAATACAATGCATGGGGGTGAATACAATGCATGGGGGTGGTAAATCAGACCTCATAGAAACGGCTTTACACGAGTGCTAGCTTCTGCAGGCTACAACGTACAATGAAATAGCTAGAAGGCTAGAGGTCTAGGCTAGAGGGAAGCATGCTTGGAGCTCGGGGACCCAAGAGAAAGGAGAAACAGTGAGCCTTCTGAGCCTTCATCGCAGCAGTAGCGTCCACCTTCACAGCAGTAGCAAAGGAATAGGAGGCGCTACGAAGGAGCATTCAAATAAGAGAGAAGTGGAGGCCAAGGCGCCAAGGCAAGGGCACAGTTCATGGTGTCACGCAGATAGTGCAGGACACGCTGGCCAGCAGTGCAGCGACCAAGAAGTGAGAAGGAATGTGGAAACGATGCTAGGTCTGGCTGGGTAAGATTCCTGATTGGTGTCTCAAATAGGTTAGCAACGAGCTCCACATGGAGGTATGCAGAGGAGGATGGAAGCCGAAACAGGAGGGGCATGAATCTTGCTTGACGTGGCACAGTCCAACGCCACGTACAGGAAAGCGTGGCCAACGAGTTTTGGGGATTTCGTCTCGGCTCCAGTCGAGGCGAGCTGGCTCGCCGCCCAGCACGGATCCGGCAGGC